AGGGTAGGTGAATGTATCTCACTTATTTGATTGGGTTTTGGGGGAAATAATTCTGGACAGGGAAAGGGTTAAATGAGGGAGATGTGCTGGCTGTTTTAGAGGCATTTCTTAGAGAGGATATGGGGGAGACAAAGGAGGGTGGATTGGTGTGGGTGTGGGTCAATGTGTCTTGGATTTTAGTGGCTGTTTATTTAGCCTAGTTGAGGGACACAATGGGGGGTTTTTGACAGGTTATTTTCAGCCAGTATATGGGGGTAAGGGAGTGCTTATTTAGGCTATTATTAGGAGTGGTTTTGGCCTTAAGGGTGTAAATTTAATGGAAGGACAATTGTGGGGTTCAAAGGGTGTGGTGGTGTGTTGGGTTGTGAGGTATATTTGGCCAGGGAATGAAAGGAAGGGAGAGAAGGTTTTATTTGTTTATTAAAAGGCTTAAAAGAAGGAAAATAACAACAAAAAAAAGGTTTTGGTTTCTTATTATTGACCAGGGATTAAAATATATGGTAAAGGCTTTATTTTGGGATAAAAGAAGAGATAAAAGACTTTTGGATATGTTGGGAGGAGTTGGGATTTTTGGTGGAGCCATCCAGGGATATAACATACTCCCCTTCTTCAAAAAAAGTTTGTCCTCAAACTTTCGCACCACCGTAGAAGATTATGATTTCATATGAGTATTCCCGGATCAAATGGGAAACTTATTGAACCACCAACGGGGAGTCTCTCTCCGGGATCTATAGACACCTTGTTGTGTAATTCCCGGAATGTTATGACATTCTTGAACAACATATAGTACTCCAGGGGATCATCCTTCGGGTATTTTCCCGAGCTTAGTACTTCTTCCTTCACACTTATTTTAACAAAATGATCAAAAACAAAGGAATTGTCATAATCATCAGCATTAGAAACGAGGGCGTGATTAGGCAGCTCCGGTGCCCCTGAAATAAGTCCATCAATGATGGCTTCTTCTTCATTTTCATTATGGAAGTCAAAGACATCCTCAACGAGGATGTTTATATCGTCGGAGCTTTTTGTTTCCTCATCAAGAGTTAGTTCTTCAAGTGGAATTGGATCATTTATGGCTTCTTCGAAGGAACAATTTTCTTC